TGGGAGGGAAATAATAGAAATCCACTGGATTATACAAAGGGAAATGAAGGGATGATGGGAGGGTGAAGGGGAATAGGAAAGATAGTAGAAAAGATAGTAGCATTAATCAGCCATACCTTTCCTAGCTTGGTATTTGTATACACAACTAGGGTAACTCCACATTATGTACAACCACAAGAGTAGGATCTTAAATAAACTATACACTACGTATGCTTAATCTGCCAAAATACATTCTGTCATGTTTAAGTAAAAAGAACAACAACCAAAAAAAAAAAATCAAGAAGAAATCAAATGGGATTGGGATTGGGATGAGCACTAAAATCCAAAGACTACTGTCTTTATAAAAGGAGAAGAGAACACACCAAAAAAAGAAAAAGAAAAAAGAAACAGAAAAGAAGACTACATGAAAATGAAGGCAGATACCGAAGCAATGCTGCTACAAGCTGAACAATCCCAAGGATTGCTAGGAGCAGCCCAGAGCTAGGAAGAAGCTAGTAAAGATTATTCCCTGTAGCCCTCAGAGGAGTCCTGTCCCTGCTGACATCTTGAATTAGGATTTCTAGATTTCTGAAGTGCAAGAGGATAAATTTCTAGTGTTTAGTTCACCAGTTGTGGCAATCTGTTATAGTAGCCTTAGGAAACTAGTAGTGATTTTAATCTAAACTAGGAAAATTTTAGAATCTTCTTTCATTTCCCATTCTCCCTTGTCCAATAGCATCCCCTTGTTATCAAAACAGGCCTGTTTTGCCTGCTGGGCAATCTGTCAATCCCCAAAGCAATGGGTTTTGGAAAAAAGGAAGAGTTTATTCATGAGATGAAGAGATGTGAACTTCCAGACTCAAACTTGCCTCCTTGTGAATAGGACTTCTGGGTCTTTATGGGGTAAAGAAACAGGGTGGTATGAGGCATGGGGAAGGGCAATTGGAGGTGAAGTAATAATTATTGGTCTGCACACGTGTAAACAAACTTCACCTCTCTTCATAAAATTCATGTTCAGAAATGGCAGCATTAAGCAAGATCTGTGGGGAGAGTTTTGGGCCCTCAACTACCAAAAGGATGCCTGGGCACTTATGCAAACCAAAAAACGAAGAGGTTAGTGGCTTCAACCAGTTTAAGCCACATAAAGCTATCTGCAAATCACTTAAAGAAAACAAACAACAACATCAACAAAGAAAATCATTACCAAGGCGGCCACATATCAGAGGCATTAGTAAAGCTAGTAGGGGTCTGTTACTTTATTATTTGCTAAAGTGAATTCTAAAATCAGTGATGAAAGCAAGTAAATAGAGAGAACCTAGAAGGTTTATTCAGGTTGTTCCTAGGTCTCAAAAGTAGGAATGTGCTTTTGGCTATCTCAACTTTCACTAGGGAAGGAGAATGGCTCAAACCTCTCACAAGAAACACACACACACACATGATTTTTAAAATTTATATATATTTCATTATAGAGAGTAACTTACATCCTCTTGCTCCATGGCAAAAAATATGGCTGCCAAGTTATATAAATTTTACTTCTAGGGATCTCTTTTCCTCAGTGTCTGCCTTTTCCAATATAACTTTCATTGTTTTGTTAGATTAAACCATAATCTTTCTCTTATCAGGTAAATAAAGTTTCAAAAACTTCCAGTTGTTCTCCTTTGTTGATGAATGAAATATAAATTCTTCATCTTGACATTCAAGACCCTTGAGTGCCCAAATGATATTTCCAAATGTTCTAATCTAGCATCCATTTGCTTTATTTTCTTTCTGTGTACATCTTGTACTCATTATAATTTTGGGGAATGCAATCATCCCATTAAACTGTTTCTGATTCTTCTAACCTAAGATTACCTAATTTTCAAAAAAGCTCCATAACTTACCTCTTGCCTTTACATGGGTTATATTTTGCCTTATAATATATTTATATATGTTTTTTCCTTGCTCTCTACAACTCCAATATGATTTTATGTAAATAAAATTTATACTTTCTTATATTCTTATTTGTCATACATATTATCCTGGCATGCAATTTAAGCTGATAGTTTAAAAATTAACTGGAACTTGTTAATGAGTTTGGAAATAACAAATCTGAAGTCTGTGAAAAGTAGAACTTGGGAGGAAGGATGTAATTAAGAGACTATTGACATCAACCTCATTTAAGATACAACACAGATGGGCAAACTTTCAATGCCAGTGTTTAATTTTTATTTATTATTTCTTAAGTGAAAGGACATCCAATTAATCCTTGTAAATGTGAAGAAACTTGTTGAAACCATATGGCAATTTTATGACTGTCTAGGTGTTGGTTTATGTATTCATTATTATTTTTGCTGAACTCAAAGAAAAAACTAGCATTCAGAGAAAGAGGAGAATACTCTTCATTGTCTAGACTGGACACTCTCCTGGTTATCTGATCTGAATTTTATGGAATGTATTAAAGCTGTTTCATACCTCTACAAATTGTAGGTAACTGATAGCAATGCAAAGTTGATCTTTTAGATATACATGCAAATGTTCTCCTGAACAGTAGAGGGTCAGTCGATGAGCCCCAATATCATGGAGAGCAGGGTTTGCCTACATTGACACATTTATTTCAATACTCCTTATCTTTAAATATGTCTGTTCTTTGGATTTCTTTTGAATCAGTTACAATATCTGCCTGATTTCCTCATTTATTCTAAGTTTAATGAAATCTTTAACAAGTGTTCATTTTTTGTTTGTTTTTGTTTTTGCCACTGCTGGGAATCATACCCAGTGTTTCTAGCACATTAGGCAAGTGCTCTATCACAGAGCTTTAATCCCACTATATACCCATTTTTATATATGATTTTAGAATGTGAAAATTAACTTGTCACAAGTGTGAACCTCATGTCTTGTTTTACCTGGTGTTGTTAAGACATTTTGGGCACACAACAAGGTGTCTACCAGCAGATGATTGCATAATAAAAGTGTTGTATATATTTGTATTTTATATAATATTGTGGAATAGTATCCATCCATGAAGATGAGTGAAGTCTGGCATTTTGGACAATACAAATGGAGCTAGAGGAAATTATGTTAAGTGAAATAAACCAGGCACAAAAAGATAGAAATCATATAATCTCACTTATATGTGGAATTTTAGAAAAGTTCATCTCATACAAATTGAGAGTACACTGGTAGTTTCCAGAAACTAAAGAGGGTAGAGGAGATAGGGGATGGGGAGAAGTTACTCAATGAGCATATCCCACTTAGAAGTAAGTTCTGGTGTTCTGCATAGTAAGTGACTATTATTAAAAATAATATACTGTGTATTTCAAAATGAAAGGGAGAACTTTAAATATTCTCCCAAAGAGACATGATAAATGTTTAAGGTGATAAATATGCTAATTATCCTAATTTGAATATTACAGAAAGTATAACTATTTTAAAACATCGCATTGTACCTCCTAAGTATTCATCATAATCATTACGCCAATCAAAAGAAAATTTAAAAACATAACTAAGTAACCTTTATGACCATCATACAAGCAGTATGCTAGAAAAACTAGAAAACAAAAAAGAGGGTCCCAAAAATATTAAGGAAACCTCAAAAAGTGCCATATAATTGGAAAATTGCGGGGAGGAGATTTAGTTTAGTGAAGCTAAATTAAATTTAAAAAAAAAACCACAACAAATCCCAAAGTGGGTTTTATGACTCTGATTTTGCTCTGATTTTTCAGAAACTCCAATTAGATTTTGACCCTTTCAGAGAATCTAACCACGCTCAGGTCAAGTTATGAATTTTCAGAGGATACATTTGAAAAATTGGGTGAAATTTGCATGGGGGTAAACTTTTACTCAGTTGAAGTCCAAATTTTCCAATAATTAGAATTATGGGAATGGTTTGGTTTGTCAGTTTTAAGAAAATTCAAGGATTGTTATGAGAATTCTTTTGCTATTGATGAAATTATTGTCTATGAAATGGGATCAGATAGTCTATGGAGAATTCCATGCAGAAAACCAATTTTATTATTCAATTTGGTTTTGATCTGGAATTTTATGAGCATGAGAGCCAACCTGACATACTCTCTTGAAGTTATGTAATTTGTCTGTTTTGTAGGAGGATGTTAAGGTAATATGCTTCCTTTTGTCTCAGGCATTCTGAGTTTTGGCCCAGGCTCCAAAGTTGAAGACAAGGCAAGATAAGAACCCTTGAAGTGAATGATTTAAGACAGTCACTTATAGAGAATGGGGTGCTTGTCAGCTTGCCAGAAGCATAGAAATATATCTCTGCACCCAGCTGGGTGCCGGTTCAGCTGCAGAAACTCAGGCCTTCTCTCTGAACACAGTGACAACGCAGTTGGGAGTTTGCGATCTTTGGATTTTAGTGGGAAATGGTTGGTTGAGACCCTGGTGATTGATTCCTCTGTGAAAGAGTCAGTCCAGTATTGAATTTCTTGACAATCAGATCAAAGATTGCAGTTGCCCAGGGAGTGGCCAATCTTTAAAAAAAAAAAAAAAATTGGTGGACAAGAGAAGTGTAATATTTCCCAAAGCCAGAGGTAATAGCCTGGAAGACAGCCAGGTGTGAGTCATGGGGAAAGAACGCTACACCAGCAACTGCTCCTCTGTGAATTCCGCTGGGGCAAGAGTTGAGTGGCATTTGCAAGGAAACTCTTAGCCAAAAAAATTCATTGCTTGAGTTAGGAAATAGTATAATGTTAGAGGGGGGAGAGTGGGTGGCGATGAGATTAAAGAGTTCCCAAGTCCAATCTGAGAGAAATGTTATTTGAACCTATGCCATGACATAAGGCCCATATTCCATATTGCAGGAGCACAGTGCCTTAAGACCATGTCCTTTCCCCTCTCATTTCTCCACCCTCTATGCCTCCGGAACCAGAGGCAGCATGGTGAGTGAGACAGTCTACCGCCCCACATAGCAGAACTGCAGCATGTATGGGTAGGGTCTAAGCTGGGATGGGGAGAAGCTATGAAAGACAGGAATTATGACACTGGATGGGTGCAATAGTTTAATAACCCCAAATAAGACTGTACCAATATCCAAAAGGCACTGGAAGGTTGTGGCCTCTGTCCAATTTATTGGGCAAACACAGAAAAGTGGAGCCTCAGAAGCAGGTTTATAGAGCTGTGGTGAGGAAAAAAAGGTTGTTTCCAGCTCGCTCCTCAGTAAGTACAGCTGATTTTATTAATCCGCCTCGGTTGTCACAGCAAACTTTCCTATCCAAGCGTAAGATCACTTTTCACAGTTAGATATGGAGCTGATGACAAAATGTTCCACATTGTGATCTGAAATTCACATCACTCAGTGAACACAGAGTTCACAGATTTAATTTGTTGAAAATATTCTTGTTTTCATGGCCTAGTAGGATCTTTAGGTTTTCTCTCTTTTTCTACCTCTGCCTATAGAAATAGGAGATGTAATCAATTTGGGGTAGTGGTTATCTGAGAACATTTTGTTTTACTGGAGAGTTTTTTCTCCTTCTTGACCATATCATATCTTCACCAATGACTCCCCTTTTTCTATTCACTCCCAGCCTGAATGAAACAAGAGAATGGGAAGAAATATTAATATCATAAAAAGTATATCTAAAAAAATAAATTGAAGTTGGTGAATGAGAGAGACATTTGTGTAGCCTACTATTGGAAGCTCACATTGAGGAAGGCGGTTAAACTTAGAATTTGATTTTCATTTAAGTAGTCCATCTTGAGGTTCCATGATTTTGAAGCTCTTGGTCCTCAATCACCCACCTCTGCCCTGGGAAAATCCTGTGGAACAGAGGGAGGAATGGGCAATGGTGAGGAGCTCTGCTATTAAGGGATTCAGGACTGAGGGATGGAGGGAAAACAGATTGACAGTGAGGGCCTATAAAGCAAGTGCTATGACAGACATCTTTGGAATGGAGTCCTCTGTCTGGAAACTGAGCTATAGACCATGTGGAAAGAAATGAAGCCATTCAACAATCTCTGGCTATCTTATGGATCTTATATGGGCCAAAATATCCACTTCTTCCCTTTTTTTAAAAAAAATAATTAACTGACACATAAAAATAAAAATTGTAGATGTTAATGAGATGCAATGTAGTTTTGATACGTGTATAAATCGTGTGCTGCTGAAAGCAGGTTTAACATATCTTCTCAAAACATTTATCTCTATATTCTAAAAATGTTCAAAATGCCTTTGGCCATCTCTAGTTCAGTCTTTAGCCTACATCTGGAGGTGCTGCTCTAAAACAACCTTGGAATCAAGTCACTCATCTTACCCCTGGCCCCGCAGCATGAAATCCCCAACCCCTACACTAGGCTTGCCAATGTTGGTACCTCTCTGGCCTTCATGTTGACCTCTCCCTTTCTTCAGTCCCCAAGAGCTGGTAATACTGTGATACTGCTTATCTTTCTTTCAAGGGCCCCTATAAGCCATTCTCACTTTTGCCCCAGATTTTAATACATGATTGATTATTTGTATATTTCTGATTAGAAATTTCTTTCCCTTCAGATTTATCTGAGTATCTCTTATAAATTCTTGATATTTTTCCTTAGAAATACATGCTTCTGGAAATGCCATTCCTGTACTCCAATCTGGTGAGGCTCCTTTCTATGTTCTTCAAATGCTAGCACTTTTTCTTGCCTAGCGCTTGGCACGTTGAGCTAGAGTGAGGTGCGTACAGGCCTGCCCTTTGCCCCTGCTGCAGGGGCCTCTGTAAGAGCAGAGACTTTATTTATTGATTGATCCTTAACACCCAGCATATGTGTGGCATTCATTAGCTACTTGATGACTTAGTCAATGGGTGATATTAATGTTTTCTACAGTACACATTTTATTTTTAAACTAAATTTAAGAATTAAGAATTTGCTTCTTATAACCAAAAAAAAAACCAGTATCAATTTTCTAACACTTCTTGGCAAAAATACATATTTTGATCTCAGTATTAATTTGATCAGATACATGGAAGGACTTTCTTTATCTGGGATTCTGGGGTTGTTTATACTTCTCTTTTATGTAAGTTTTAGATTTATTATACAAATTTAGCTCTAAAAAGTGCTTCCTTTTGGTCCTCACAGGAAACTAAACACATCTCTCCATTTAAGTTTTGGGTTACCACATAGTAGGTATTCATTATTGCTTGTTTAATAATTACCTTATAATCCATTCAGAAAAGCGATCCCCCTAGTGGCTAAACTACATCAATACCTTTTTTTTTTTTTAATTTTGATAAAACCACAATTTGGCAACATACATAAAGTAAACATTAAGTTTCATTCTTTTGGTTTTATGTGATATTAACAATAATACTTGTTTTTTGTGTAACTTTGTATTAATGAGAAGAGGAAGATATGGAAAGGATTTATTACTAATGCCTTAAAAATACAAACAGTGCATTCTAATGATTATTGATTTAATGTATACCTTTGAGCAATAATAATTCTTTAAAAACACTAAAGAAGAAAATATTTTTAGGTTTTGTGTAAATATTAATAAATATTTAAAATAAAACTTGTTTATTATTAAAAAAATTTTTAAATATTCTTTCTAATTTTTTTCCTACATTGCTGTGAATCTAGTAACAGGGAACATAGTAGCTTAGTGATATACATTTCTTATCTAGAATCAGATTATGGATGGATTCATAAGTTTGTGACTCTTAACATTTGACTTGATGCCATGAGTTTCCAAGAAAACAAATTTTAAATCTGTTTTTATCTTCTCTTCTTCATATTAGTGGAGTCTAACATTTGTGGAAAAAATATCCTTATTTCATAAAAACATTCTTAGCAATTTTTGCATTGGCTCTATGAGAATGAAAGTGGCAATAAAATGGGTTAACTCCAATTTTCATACTTACTGCATGTTGTACCTTAAATAATTACCTTCCAGTAGTTTAAAGATGTAATAAGAATCTACTTTTTAATTTATACTTATACTACAACTACATCTGTAAGTTAACATGGCTAATTTGATTTCAGAAAACATCTAATCAAAAGATCTTTTTTTGATTTTAAAAGGCCTTTAGGGTATCCATACTTATACTAATAAAGCTGACATTGCTCAAATATGTATTTGGGGTTCCCCTTTTTAAAACATCTCTTGTTTGTACATTTTGATCATACCTACACTTATTCATTCTTTTAGCAAGTATTGAGTGAACATCTACCATGTGCCTGCCTTTAGGATACAATGAGTAATTCAAGAATTTGGGGAGTGGGGTGAGTAGATAATTATAAACAGTATAGCAAGTGGAATGATGTTTGCTAAGTTTGGTTCTCAAATGTCCCCAAAAGGCCCAGGTGCTAAATGTGTGATCACCAGGGTGGTGCTCTTGGGAGTTGTTGGAGGTTTTTTAAGTTAGGGCTGGTGGAAGGTCTTATATCACTGTGGGCATATTCTGAGGAGTGTAATGGGACCCCAGTGCTTTCCTTTCTTCTTTGAATCCTGGCCAAGAGGTAAGCAGCATTTTCTACCACAAGCTTGCTGCCATGAAATGTGTCATCAACACAGGCCCTAAGCTATAAGGCCAACCCGTCATGGACTGAAACCCACGAAACTGTGAGTCCAGATAAATCTTTGCCTTTATAAGTTGATTTTCTCAGGTAGTTTATTACAACAATGGAAAGCTAACACAATGTAGATGGTGATAAACTCTTGTAGAAACACTGGGAAGAGTTGCTAACTCAATAAGAGGGTATCTAGACAGTTTCCAAAGGGAAACAGTACCTGAGTTTTGACTTAATGTATAGATGGACATTAATCAGGGAGAAGAAAATTATTAGCTTATAGGAATGTGAGAAAGAACAAGATGTATAAGAGGAAACACAGGCAGTTTCTGGTAGTGGCTAGCAATCTTTGACATTGCTTGGCTTGTAGCTGTGAAAGTACAGTCTCCATCTTCATCTGATATTTTTGTGTGTCCATGTCTTCACAAGATCATCTTCCTATAAAGGCACCAGTTACATTGGATTAAGATCCACACTAATAACCTGTTTTATCTAGATTAAATCCACAAAGATTCCGTTTTCAAATCAGATCACATTCACAGATGTGAATATGTGCTAAGATTTCAAGCATATTTTGGGAGGATTACTCAACCCTTAACAAGATGACATGAGTATGTATATAGGAAATCATAAGGAATCTACAAAGAACTAGTAGAATTAGTAAACAAAATTTTTAGGTGAAAAAAATTCGATGCACAAAAAATTGATATTTAAGTTGACTAGGTACACACAATTACAAAAAACACACCATTTCATTTATAATGGAAAAATAATAATAAAACTATTTCAGTGCAAATTTCACAGTGAAAACTATAAACATCGTTTAAAGCAACTAAAAACTAGAATAAATGGAGGACCACAATGTGCTCATGAATCAGAGACTCAAGACTATTATGATGTCAATTCTTCCTTTACTTATCTGTAAATTTAAAGTAATTTTAATAGAAATTTCATCCAAAATTTTAGGGGTAGAATTTTATAAGCTGATGCAAATTATTTAGGGTCATGAAAGCAATTTGAAAAGGAAAAAGAATGAAGCTGAACGACTAGATTTCAAGTCTTATTTTAAATTTACAACAGTTGAAAATACTATAGTATTTTGGAAAAAAATAAAGATCCAGGGTACTGAATAAAGAATTCAGGAATAGACCCACACAAATACGTTCAATTGTTTGCTAATATAGATGCCAAAGCAATTCAATGAAGGAAGTAGAACTTTTTCACAAATGATTTTGGAACAAATAAATATTTATATTGTAAAAACGTTTTTTTAACCATTCACCATTATCTAAATGTTAACTTGGAATGATTTATAAACCTAAATATAAAATGTTAAACTATAACCCTCAGGAACAAAACAAAGGAGAAAATCTTGCAATCCTGAGGAGGCAAAGTTTTCTTGGATAAGACAAAATGAAACTGGAAACCTTGAAATAAAAACATAATACACTGGACTTTATCAGGATTAAAAATATATTTTTTTAAAGAGGCCATGAAGCAACTAAAAAGCCTAACCACATAACAGGAGAATATATTTACAAATAGTGTTTTTGACAAAAGAGGAGAATACATGGGAAACTCTTATAATTTAATTAGAAGACAGCCAGTAGCAACAGGGGAGCAAAAACCTTGTGTTAATTTAATAGGGCTCCAAAACAAAATACCAATACTACAGACTGTGTGGCTTAAATAAGAGAGGTCTATTTTCTTACAGTCTGAAAGTTAGAAGTACAAGATTAAAGTTTCAGTAGATTTGGTTTCTTTTGAGGTCTCTTTCTTGAGCTCGCATATAGCATCCTGCTTTCTGTGTCTTTTCACGGTCAACATTCTGCCTGTGCATGTTTCTTGTGTTTCTCAATGTGTCCAAATTTCCTATTATGATAATGTCAGTCAGATAGTACTACCTCCTACCTTAATATTTTATGATACTTGAATAGAAACTTCATAATACTTGTGTAGATGTCCCATAAAAGAAGAGTTATAAATAGCCAATAAGAACATAAAAAGATTACAAACACATTAGTTTTGGGGCAATAACAAATGAAAACTATAATAAGATATAAGTACACATTCATTAGAATGCCTAAACTTTAAAATATTGACAATGTGAATCATAGAGCAACTAGAACTCTCATAAACTGCTTAAAATGAAATAGCACAATGGCACAAGCACATTAAAAAAAAAAAAACGGACAACTTTTAAAAATGTTAACTATACACCTAGCATGCAACCTAATGATTTTGCTCAAAAATATTTATCCATTATAAGTGAATTCCTATATTTTCACAAAGAGTTTTACATGAATAATCATAGAAGCTTTATTTATAATAGTAAAAAAAAATCCCTAGGAACTACCTAAGTGTCCATCACTAGGTGAGTGAATAGACATATCATAATATAATTATTAAAGGGACTAAGTCTCATCAATAAAAAGTAATAAATCCCTACCTCCAGCAATATGATCAATTTCAGAACCAGTACACAGACTAACAGAAGCCATAAACAAATAGAACATAATTCTACTTAAGTAAAATTCTATCAAGGAAAACTAATCTACAGTGACCAAAAGTAAGTCCATGTTTGCCTAGGAATGGGTAAAGAGAAGGTTAGGAAATGACACAAAGAAGTTTTTTGGAGTGATAGAAATGCTCTGTATCATCACATGAAATCATTGCACTTAAAATGCCTGCATTTAATTGTGTATACATGATGATTCAATGATGTTCATTTTAAATAATTAGCAATTTGTTCTTCATCTTATTCTGTTCTGGCTTCTGGAATGACATTATCACTAGGACTGCTTTTGCTAAGTTCCCCTATAACTTCCACATTTCCAAACTCACAGCATTTTAGACTCACAGCATCTATTCTGTTTCCACTAGACTCTCCCCATTAGCTGTGTTCCATACCTCTGGTCTCTGAGAACATACTGTTTTCTCAGCTTCATTTTCCTTTTTTCTTTTTATTATGACAATACTCTTTTGTTTTTATTATACCTCACGAGGTTGGCTTTTCTCAGTCATTCTTCTCTACCCAAAGTCTACATAATAGAGTGCAGTCTCAGAATAAATCTGTAACAAGACAATATTATGATTCACAATCTGAAATATCTTTTAAAGAGGTTTTTAATGACACTTTAAGTAAATAAATTACTTTATTAAATTTAATTCCCTGTCCCCTCATTCTAAAAATGATTTTGGCTACCATACTCAAATCCAATATATGCATTATTTATTTTAGTTCCTCTTTGTGACTCCTTTTGTTTCAGAAGACAATAAAAGTCAAATAAGCAGCAGAAGCAATAATTTGAGCAAGATTTGCTGTCTCTAAAGCCTATATACTTAATAATGATATAAAATTTTTATGAATAAAACTAAAAGTTGTGGTTTACTATTCATAAAAACTCAGTTTGTCTGTGTTGTTGAAATTAGTTGTGTTTTCCTTGAGAAGAAAAACAGAACACATGCAACTTCAAATGGTTTTTAAATGTGATGTCTACTTCACAACAATTCTGAAGTAGTTGGACAGTGATATTTTAAATTTATGCATACATGATAGTTGCTTTCCTTTTAAAATATGCCTACTGGTCACCATAGTAACATATGCTGAGTCTCCTCTATGTGCCTCCTGGTGTTATCAATGTGAATAACAGCACAATATTAGACTCAGAGAAAGGCAAAGAACAAATCCAGAGCAGCACACCATAAGTCTTAATAACTTTAGTGCTCTTAATTTATATTTTAATCTAGAGAATATTAACATCCATTGTCTTATATTACTATGTAATGATAAAGTAAATATTTCCTTTCATAGGTATAAAATATTAATATTAATGCAAACATGATTTGCATATGTATAAAAGAATAGCGAGCACCATCAATCACCATCCTTTTACACTGCTCTTCGGATTTCAAACAGTGTGTTTCTACAGAACCACCAGCACAGGTCAAAACAGAAACTGGCCACTTACTCACATTTTGTAATAATTATTTATTTATACTAAATAATAATGCTAAGCAACAACAAAAAATTCTAAATTCTTAAACACTTAAAAGATAATCAGACTAATAGATTTTTCTTTAAAAATGGCTTATTTTCTTTTTCTTTTCCTTTTTCTAATTGTAGCTGGACTCAATACCTTTATTTTATTTATTTACTTTTATATGATGCTAATTATCAAACTCAGTGCCTCCCAGTGCTAGGAAAGCACTCTCCCTAAAAATGGATTTTTTTTTACTAGAAGATCTTTATCTTCCTCCCAAGAGAGCACTTCCTTTTTTCCTTTGTTCTTAGATTTCTCATTATTTTTCTCCTTCCTGAATAAGCTTTTGTTTGTTTGTTAACCAGTGTTAATCTTTTTAGAGACGTGTGTAATCAGCAGAAATGTCATTGAAGCCTGGACCTTAGGATGGTTTTTAACAATTATCTCTCCACAGGAATGAATATGAGAATATATTGGTATCTATGTCTCTCTCCGCACCCTTATCTATCTACTTATCTATCTATATCTATCTCTGCATCTCTATCTTTCTATCATTCATCTATCTACTTTTCTTTCTATCTAGAGAGAGAGGAGGAAAGGAGAAAGAAAAAAATAATTAGATATTGAATCTGAAAATGTTGGAAATAGATAGTCTCTTCAAATGAAGCAGGTAAATTCTACTTTTACAGTATGGAAAGTGGGGATCAGAAAAGATCCCTTCTTTTTCCTTGTTTACTGCAATAAATTAATATCCTGTATATTTTAATTTGTATATTTTAAAGCATTTTTAAAACTTTGAAAATAAAATTAAAAGTGAAAACTCTTTCAAAAAAAAAATGTGCTACCTCTCTCCTATGAAACTTTCTGCCCAATCAATCCATGATGGCCATTTAAAGGAGTTGTGGTTGAAAACCTCTTACTATGTTAGCTATAAATGAACCATTTCTGCACATAAAATTGATCAGGTAAAAGCTATTGATTGATAAGGAAAATATCTCCAGAAATAGTATGCTTATATGACACTAAGTAGAATAAATATTTATGACTTTGAAGAGTCATTTAAGTATTTTTATTTTATATGAGCTCATTAAGGCAGTTTGCCATTACTATGCTATTAATTATTTCTTAGAATAAAGTCTCAGCGTATATGCAGTTTTTATAGCAATTGACAGGAAAAAATTCATGTTTGCTTCATCACTTTCAAGGTATTAATTGAGAGCTAACATCTATAATTTTAAATAAATTTCTCAAAGCACATGAAATGTAAAGTGAATTATTATTTAATTACTGTACTTTCGTTATGGATATTCATTAAACCACACACTTCAAGTCCTGTTTTAGTTTGGTGGCTCTTACAATTTCTTCACTTAGGCATTAGTAGTTGGTAGTTATTATTTTAAAACTGTATACATTCACATACAAATATACATTTAAATTGTATCCTAAAAATTTCAAAACAAAACAATTGCATTTAACATCATATTATCACCATATGAAGAAGATGTTTTCTTAGATGTTATTTCTTAAAATAATGGCATCTTGGATTAAAGAGCTTGGTTATTAGATAGGCACTCATGAATCACCTGTTGTGTAAGAGGTCTCTATCAGAAAGAATTAACTCTACTTAAATCAGTCAGAAACTATAAATTCAAGCTATTTTTCTTGCCTTAGAAACAGCCTTGTAATATTTGAATGAATGTTAGCATACTGTTTGAAAGAAAGACACATATGTCATTGCTTCCACTTTGGAGAGTGCCTATCTAGTCTTCTTTCTGGCTCACCAGATAATAAAATTACATGCATAATTTTCACGTAAGGTTTAGATATGAATTCAGTACAGCCTACTGCTGTTTTCTATAATTTAGTGCTTCCTTTTACTAGATCCTAGACTTTGACTGACAGCTAACCAAGAAAATGAACTCCACATGGCTCTAGTCATCCTAATTCTGTCAGAAGTAGCTGACTATCCTGTTTCTTCCATGAAGAATCAGCACAGGTGTATCTGTATTTGGCAACTTTATACTTCTGTTAATCTCATTAAACATTTATTAAAGTGTGCGTTAAATGTGGAACACCACACAGTATTAGACACAGGAGTGACGTCACAAAGCAGGAATGGTTAACAGATAAAAATAAGTAAGTGAATGAAAAGCAAACTTTCTGCCATCAGAAGTTTATAATCATCAGGAGGATGAATCAATAAAACCACAAATAAAATCATTAATATTGGGCATCAAGGTTAAGGATTTATCCTATAAAGTTTTTAGAAACATGAGACACTCACCCAGGTATTATAGTTAGAGATGGTGAAAAAAAGGAGACAATACAGGAAAAGGTTTCTTCAGTCAAAAATAGTATTTAGTATTCTCTTGATTTAAAGAAACTCTTGATCATAAAATTAGCTGTTGAATTACCTACAAGTTTTTGAGGAAGAAAAAAAGAGAAATAGCTGGTGAGTTGCTCAGCAACTACTTGAGTTGTCTTCCACTTAATTTCAAATACATTAGATATACAAAAAATTTATCTTATAATTTGCTCATTAAGTCCCCAGTTTTCAATTCTTCAATTAATGTAATGAAATTGATACTGATGCATTATATTAGGTCGGGAATCATAATCTAGACCTTACATATATTATTAAAGTAATAGTTATTATTATATTAGTATATTATAACTATGTCCTTATGTAATTATATTATATATTTTATATACTATATTTAAGTTTTTATTTTTTATTCATTTTTTAGTTGTAGGTGTACATAATACCTTTATTTTATTTATTTATTTGTTTGTTTGTTTATTTATTTATTTATTTACTTTTGTGGTGCTGAGGATCGAACCCAGGCCTTGGACATGCAAGGTGAGCGCTCTACTGCTGAGCCACAACCCCAGCCCATATTTAAGTTTTTATTGATTTTCCACATTTGAGATTATGGGATGAGTTAAGAAAATAGAATTACACAGTTGATTATAGATGCTGCATGTTTAAAGTATGCATGGCATTATAATCAAGTCTTTATGTGCTTTGTTTTATTTGATTTCCACAGATTTCTGAAGTAGATTCTGTTATTATCTATACGTAGTTACAGTCAATCTAATGTGGAAAATATTAGATGGCTAGCACACATTTCCTCATTTGGCAATCACTGACTTTAGTGATTGGGCCTTGATTGGTGGTTTACACTGCCTACAAATAGTGGTGAATATCCTTTATTAAATAAAGTCTAGTGGTGGAATTGTCAAGTCCATGGACTTTAGAATTAGCCTACTCAAGTTCAAATCCCAGTTTTGCCACTTACCACCTGCATGGACTTGGGCTCTCTTTTTAAGCACTTAGTATCTTAGTTACCTCTCTGTACCATTTATTATGATTTTATAATATCTCTTTGGTGTGTTTGTTTTGAAGATAAAGAACCAAACACACAGGAAGTCCTTATAATAGTGGCTGGCATAGAGGAAGAATTAGTTATTATTAATTGATGAAAGCACTGTGTTCAGTGCTGGGGAAAAGAAGATGAAAATAAAGGTAAAATAAAAGAGAATAATTTCCATGTTTGGTTACATAAAATTATGGAAGGAGCATAAGACAAGAAGCAAAATCACTAAGGATGAGTACATAAATTACATTATGTCAGGAAATTACAAGTTACAAAGAGTGGGGAACTTGGACATGTAAGGAAGAACAGATCCTTGCTAGGATAGTGCAGGTTTGATACTGTAGGCAAAAAGGACCTGAAAACTTTACAGGAGTGTGTCTTGATCTAACTAGATCAAGCTGGCAATCAGAGGAGAGTTTAGAGGAATGCAAGAGCAGACAACTGCAGAGAGCAATTGGGAAGCCTGTGTGTAGGGAGCAGAAAACATAAGACAGGACTTATATTTGGGGTGGAAAAAAAGCAAATGAAGATTGATTGGAAAATAAGGAAGAACTGGTTACAGGTCACAATGATATATTTTTATTTGCATTGTAACTTGTTGGACCCAAGAGCTCCTGATAGGATACTTAGCTTTTTGCATAAAATCCATGATCACCTCAAAGTTAGTGATTAACAAAAACTGTATCTTGGACTTAAAATTCTCACATTCACCAGAAAATAGAAAGTCGTTGCACTTAGTTTTTTTTTCCCCTACTGCTGTCCTTCAGGAGTGTATTTGAATAGAACTTCATTGTAAGTTGTCAGAACTGGCAACACTTTAATGGTGATTTTATGGCAAGGTTTTATTACTAAGAACAGAACACCAGATCCTTTTTCCTTCATATGGTTTCAGAGGATTCATTTCTCATTCTAGACCCACTGAAGAGTATTCAATCAAGTTATTGTGACGTTTTCATTGACCCAAATGCCTATTTCTTGTATGCTAGTGGAGACATCCCTCTGATATCAGACAAAATCAGGATGATTTATGTTTTGTTGGTGGCAATAGAATTTGAAGTTGCATATTTCTGATTAGAATAGTGTGGAGTTACAAAATAAACACCAAATGTTCGGTGTAAATAAATACTCAATAAGTTTTTTGAGGCCCTACCTATATGTTTATCACTGTGTTAGGGCAATAAAAAATGGCTAACAGTGCCATTTCTGTAGCCAGTTGTTTTAATTCAAATTCTGCCTTCAATCCTAGCAAACCAAATTCAATGACAAATTAACAGGATCATCAGTCGTAATCAATAGGCATCACTACTTACAAACTCTTTGACCTTGGACAAGTTACAAAACTGGTCTGTGGCTAAGTTTCATTAGGGAAATGCAGAGTGAAACCCCAATGAGATATCATCTTACCCCTAAAAATGGCCTTATTAAAAGGGCCAAAGATAACAGGCATTGGCAAGGAGATAGAGAAAAGGGGACACTTGTACAATCTTGATGGAAATGTAAATTAGTACAGCCATTATAGGAAATTCTTTCCTCAAAAAGCTAAATCCCACTATGAGAATTTACACCAAAAAAATTGAAGTCAGCTGGG